CCTACACACCGTGCCCTTCTGGACAGGTACATGGGTTTCTTCATTCACTGGTAAATATTGAGCTTCCCTCGTGTACACATTACAGCAAAAAGCTCTGTGAAAATTTTTACTGAACTTTTTTATTGAAAGAATCTGGAAAACTAAATCATAAATGTGTGTCAGATGCTCCAGCATCATGAGCTGCACAAGTGCAAAGGACTATTGACCTATATATATTATTAAGCAAACAACAACAATAAATGATAAGCCAAGTCACACAGGCTATTTGCATGCCCAGAGTCCTCAACATTTAATGAAGTTTCCTTTGAAGTTAATGTGCCCAAAATAGGAGGCACAGAATGAGCCACAAATATCAATATTGATTTTTTTTTGGCATTACTGTTTTGGCTTGAAACCCCTGGCAAGAGGAACACTTTGTGCAGGAGCATTTTCAATGTTTCTGTGAAAAATTAGCAGAATACTAAATTCCACTCTGAATTTGAAATATGAATCTGAAATGTACTTTGCTCAAGCTTTGTTGAAGAAACAATTTATTACAGCACTTAATCTTCCTGATGAAAGAAAAGGAGATTTTAGCCTGCTAATAAGCTGTATAGAAGCCATGACTAATTAACCTAATTATAGCAGCCTGTGACAAAATGTGATTGTACTAAAACCATGCCTCAAGTAACTGGAGTTGCCAAAAACTCAAAGGCTAATAAACCAACACACATTAATGGAACATAAACACTAATAAAGTTGACACCAGCCATATATTATAGCAAAATCAATACTACAATCATCACAAAAGACAATCTGAGGAGTATTCAGTATTTGATAACATAGAATTTATTATCTGAAAATCCTGAAACACATAAAATTAGCACAGTTTATTGACCAATGACTGGAGCTCTTCGAGATGTGCAGTTCATGGGGACAGCATATGCATTCTGAGGCTGAAGACACCCAACACGTGCAGCACACCTGGACGCATCTACATCCTGCTATCTCACAGATCAGCAAAAGGATGTGCAGAGCAGCATTTTCTTGGCATCACATAGTTTCCATCTCAACCAAAAAACCTCAAGAGACTCAGTGGGAGAGAGGAAGCAGAGTGGGAAGGGCTCACCTCAAAGAGAATCAGTTATTGCAAAGCAACATCAGGTGACAGCCCGCTCTCAATTCCTGCTTACCTTGCGGTAAGTTTCCAGCTACTCCATGCGCACAATGACCACATGATAAATACCCAACACTGCACCAGTTTGGGATGGCTGAGGGATGACGAGGGCAGGCTGCTGGTGGGGACAAAGCTGGCGCACTTACCTGGGGGAAGGGGCAAAGGCCATGTTCATTGATGCCACTGACACTGTTTGAGCTCTGATGGGTAGCAGTTCCTTACTGCTGGTCTCATAGCAGGCTGTGACACAGCATGCTATGTGCTTTGACATCATGCACAGAAATGCCTGTTCTCTTGGATATGTCAAATAGTGATGCAAGAGTAAAGTCTGAAGAACGAATGACTGGGAGTTGATGTTCCTTCTGGTGTTTGTGACCCTGAGCTGGCAACTGTACCAACTTCAGCACAGTCGTGATGCAGTTGCAACAATCATGATGAAGCACATGGGTAACATAAAAGGCCATTTCACCCACACTGCGTTGGAACTGGCCAGCATGGAAGGGATCATCTCACAGAGAAGAAAACTCACTGCAGACTTAGAAGGTGTCTGCTTGGAGAATGTACCACCTGCAGGCAGGACTGGCAAAGGCATCCTTGGGCACTACGAGAGTAATATGGTTCCCAAGAACTCCCCTGGAGTTCCCTCCAAAATGAGAACCAGAGCCCTGAAACCTATGGTGGAAGGAAGTTCACCTTCCAGAGGAAACTTAGAGGACAGAAGTGGAAAGAAGCTTTGCAGTGCAGAACGTTCCCAAGCAGTGAAGAACTCCAACCCAGAAGGACTCCAGAGGAACTGAAATGCAACATTCACCCTATATATCCCTATGCTGAACACGGGCACGGACAGAGAATAGCCGAGAAAGCCTGAGATTGAAAGCAATAATATGTATGTACATCTATGATCTGTGCAGACTGCACAGCCCAAAGACAAAATACGCTGCTGTAAAGCATGCATTTCATGGGCTTGATGGCTGATTTCCCCTGATTATGTGTGTTGACCCTAGGTGTCCATTTAATTTGTCTTCAAAAGAGAAACAAAAATAAAGCTGCCGCTGTCTGCTGCAAAATGCCACCACTGAACAAAAGATGATTAAAGAAAGGGTGTAGAATTTCTTTAATTCCTCCATTATTATGGAAATATGCCTTTTAGAGGATGAACAGGGCTGGTTTAGTGAGAATATCCAAGCTTATTTTATGGATGAAAATGTGATTGTGACATTTTCAACATGAGCTGGGTCGTGTGCATGCGCAGAAGGCGGCAAAGGCCCCGTCCTCACTGCCAGTGAAGAGACGGAGATGATACTTCCTGGTCAAGGAAGACACGTCCGGCGTGATTGTTCCATGGTACCATTTGGAATCGCTATGGGTGACCCAGCTTAGAAAGGTCAGCTTCATCTGACTTCTGAACCGCAGTCTGCAACTTAGAGCTCCAGCTCTGTGCTACCTCAAAAGACAGCGTTTGCCAAGTGAAGAACAACTTAGCACGTGCTTGCCGAGAAAGGCATGAGCCACCATAAACCAGGGCTCCTGCAAAACTCTGGAAAGCTCCACAAAACAACGTAAACAGGAAAAGAATATCAGAGATATCTTGGGCCTGGATGAAGATATTTTGTCTGGTCACCATCCAGGAACCAGATACATTCTCTGTGCAGCATAGGGGAAGGGAGAGAAAGGAAAAACTCAGTGTCCCAGATGAAAATTTGAGAACTATCCCAATGAAACCAGGATGTCTTCACTCTCTTTACAGCACCAGAGAAATGTCCCATGAAGGCAGCATGTTACAAATAAAACTGATTCTTAAATCACAGCAGGTGCCGGAAGCCACAATAAAAGAAAAGATACAATCTCAGATCCAACAAGGTGTGAATGAGCATGCCTAATCTGAAGAACATTTTGACCCCTTCCAGAAAAGAAATCACACCCTCCTGAATCAGGTTCAAATCCAGCACAATTCGCATCTGTTGACACATAGGAGCAAAGATAGGATAACTCAAATCTCTCCGGGCTGCTCTTACTCACCTCTCTCTCCAAACACATGGCAGCTGTTAGACCTTTTCATTGTCATAACAGTATTTTTTTGCAGAAAAAAATACTTCTCCCTTGCAGAAGGTCTGTCAACTGTCACTACTGTATCCCCAGAACATCTCTGCAGATGATCATATTTACCTTAAATTCCGACCTCTTCCCCAATACAGTGAAGATGTCCATGTCCTTTACAATTTATAACCACAAAAAACAGAGGATATTCTCATTCCTCTCTTAGACAGAGAGAAGCCTAAATCTCAAAGGGAAAAATCACTTTCTCAAGGACACAGAGATCAGCAGGGGTCATGAGGAGCCCACAAAGTCAGTCTTGTACCTACAGAACTCTCCATTTCTGTGGCATTTTTGTGCTGCCTCTCATGTATGGCCAGAACTTTGTCCACCAAATGCTGTAAGGACCAACCTGAAGGCTGCTGAAAGGCTTTTAGAGGACATAAGGGATACTGATTTCACACAGTTCAAGGGAAACAGGTACCTTGATTCCTCCCCAGGAGTGATTAGACAGGAACTCAACAGGGCTTGTGACTCTGGTCTGTGCTGGGTATCTTAGTAGGAAATCCAGTTCTACTGTGTTGATTTCTTTACTCATCAGAAGTATCTGTAATTCCAGACAAACAAAATACCCTTGAGCAGTCAGGATACCGAGCAGCAATACACTCTAGCAGATTAATTATTCAACTCATGTAGCTGCCAAAATGTGGCTAAAAAGTACACAGTGCCCTGTGTTGGAGGGGTGTTAGGTGCTTTGGGTCTCCCCAAAAGAGGACTAGGAATGAGTATGGAGATTGGCAATGTAAGAGGACCAAAGTTTGGGAAAACTATGTAGCAAGGGCTGTGATCCAGGTTCATAGCACACTGAGGAGAAGTCCCTGCCAGCAGAGACACAGGCTGCAGGGTGTGCTGCAGGTCCCCGTGCTTGATATCTGCAGCTAGAGAACAGAGAACTTCCTTGAAAGGAGCCAGAGCGTGCATCCCGAGGGCCCTTGTCCATCTCTTACTGTCTTGTTCAACTTTGAAAGTAAGTGAAGACATAATGGAGAGCTTTGAAAAGCAAGCAAACAAAAACAACAACAAAAAAACAACTCCCATGGTACATGCACCAAGAGAATAAGCAAGTCCCTGAGGTCTCAAATGCTGGAGAGCACTTGGACTGTTCATCTACTACCAATGTTTTTTACCACCAATGGTGCCTTTCAGGAATACATGGAGAAAGATTGCCAGAGCAATGTTCCAGGTAATTCTGGAAAGCCATACATGCTCGTGAGCCCAGCTGGAGCCACTGCTCCAAGCACACTGTCAGACTTCTGAAATCTCAGAGACAAACTCCAAAACCCTGAACTCCAATTCTGGGTGGAAAAACAACAGTGCTGGCGTGGCGAGTTTGTCGTTTCCTTGTCACAGATCCTAGACTGTATCTCATTATTGCCTGCTGGGCAACGGTGTCTGAAGTGTGCCTGGCACCTCTTCCACCAGCGACAGCAATGCCGTGCTCAGTTCAAGAGCCAACGTTTTTTTGGTATGGGGGAATCCTGAGCTTCATCACTCAGCTGCCCCCACCCACTGGAACTGAGGATGCTGGTTTTCCTGACAGCTTAAAGGGACCCATTAACTATTTCTAGTGCTTAGTGTAGTTACAAGCATGACGTGTGCTACTTAAACACTTTACTTAGAGATATGTATTAGAAAATTTAGACATCCTTTGGGTCAGAATTAAGGCTGACATTGCAAAATATAAGCTAACTTTCTACACACAGACAATTTAATAATTAAATACACTGTTAGCGTCTATGTTTTTATATATGTATATGAATATATATGTGTGTGCATATATACTTACTTTCCCTTTTACACATAGTATTTTGTTATGTAGAATAAAAAAAAATCATGGCAATTGCTGGATCAAGGTTAACTAGACCTGTACAGCATTTTGGCTGTTCAAACTTGGTTCATATCTGCATTCTACATGTCAGAGCATTTGCACAGTCATTCACTGCACAAACTTAATAACAATTTTGCAACATCATGCCAAGCACTATTTATTGACTGAACTTGATTTCAGCATTGGGATATACAATGGTCTCCTTGCTGAGACAATAGACTAAAAATCATACTAACATCCTAGACAAAAGACAGCAGTTATGTAGCAAGCATTTCTTTTGGATAAAACCACAAGCCTTCAAGGCTAGGCCGCTTGCCCCTTATTTTCAGGTCCTGCAAGCAGGTATTGCTCACTCAAGCAACCATTTGTCAGCATAATGCAAATCAAACACAGCATTTGTGACCATTACCAGCAAGAGAGGCAGAGAAGAAAGTCAGTCCCCCAGCCCCTGCATTTGCCGCTTTGATGCTGGAGACCACAGCCGTGACAGCTTGAGCTTTCTCTGCATGCCAATATCTTTGCCTGTAAAATAAATCCTTGTATACAAACTGCACGAAATGGTGATGTTTACCTGGAAGGTAACTTGAGCGGTGTAGGTCAATTTATCACACTCAAACAGTCCCCGGGTTATGTACTGGAACACGGAGAAGGTAATGCTGTCGATGAGATTCAGCACACGCGCTGCGAGGCTCTCATCCGCAGAAGCCCTCTCAATGGCTTTCTGAAACACGATGCTGAAGGCCTGCGTGGGGAGACAGAAGGACACCGGTGGTTTCTAGATGCTCTTTGCGTGCTCCTGGGTATCACCTGAAGTGTCACAATCAGTGAAGCCAACTCGGATGCTCTATCTCTGGGGTCACAAATAGAGCATTCCCACCTGCCCAGCAGCGCAGCCCACCAGCTCCAGGAGGCAGGGAAACACATCTAGAGACCAGACCCTGTATCTGCCTTTGGCTGCTTTTTCAGGAACATACAGCCAGGCGATGACGACATTCCTTGTGCCATTGTGCTCTCTTGGGCTTGAGGAAGTGGTGCAGAGACAGGCCGACTGAATTAAGACACAACAGATATAGGAAACATTTCTCTGACCAAATGTGTTCTCTCATAGGGATTGCACAGTCCACTTTCTCTGCAAATGTTGAGCCAAAAGACAGTGGAGTTCCCAGAGGAAAGCATACCTCTCATTTCACAAATGTTTCATCTTAGAAAAAAGCAATTCCCCTAAATAAAAAAAAAAAAAAAAAGAAAAAGGTCCCATGAGTATTCTACTGACTGGATTCAGCAAAGGACTAGATGAGAAGGGCAGGTAGGACTTCACCTTGTGGAACTGGGATTAATCAGTCAGTAAAGTTCCCTTGGGGATGGATGCATGCATCGAGAATGATGCTTTTATATAAGATACTAAGGATTCTTATAATACCAATTCTTATCTAAATGAGAAAAGACGAAAAACTTTCAGAGCCGTCCATTAGCAAATTACCAAATGCAACTGGAAAAGGCAAAAGAAAAAAAAAAAAAAAACTCAGTCCTGATTAGCAATGCAAAATTAGTGGGACCTAGAGCTAATAGGAAATAACCAGGCCAATGCTAATTAATAGCACCAACCGGACAAGGCACGACTGTGTTGGCAGCATTATTTTTAGGGTTCTACAAAGGAAAAATGATGCCTTAACGAATTAAAGTAACATTGATACCTACTGCATTATTAAATAATTGCAGAATGCATTTTCCTGCTTAACATTTCTTTAAATTGCATTAAAACATGCTGCAGAGTAGCATATAAATCTTGTGTACTGTAATTTATAATGGGCTTTTAGCTGTGTGGTAAGTATTTTAAAATAATCTCTGTGTATCTTTACACAATGTTTTATGATCTATCATCAAAATTTATTAGACAAAAACATTTCATCCAATAATTTTTTATGTATTTATACACATTGCTAATGTTAACTGGAAAACATAAAACGAACAAAATACAGAAGACATAGATTAGAGGTGAATCCTCAGAAACTCCCGTATCTATTACGTATGTGTAAAGAATGAATCTTTCGAAGGGCACTCTTGCACAGAAGATATTATGTACATTGTCCTGGTAAAATTATTTCAACATATGAGTTGTAGATATCAAAAAGAAAAGCTTCCTTGTGGATGAGGCTCAAAATATTGTAATCTCTTCTCAATTACTTTTGCCAGGTGTGTTTGGAAGAAGTTCTAGACTAGGATGCCATCTCGTCTAACCCTCCATCCCCCAAAATACCTTTCTCCTATGATAAAAAAAAAAAAAGGTCTTCTATTTACTAAGCCATTAAAACCAGAACTCTTCAACAAATACCCTGAGAGGCCCTTGGGTCTCTACTGGCCAGACCTATTGAGACTACTCTGACAAGGCAAGAGATTATCTGCACTTTCATTTTTACTGCAGCAGGTCCTTAGAAGATGCTCAGGGACCAAGACTTCCCCAGTGTCCTGGGCGGCACATGCAGAGCACCGAAAGGGGGACCCCTGCCTAAGCAGCTTCAAAGATAGAGGGGATGGCTTGAAAGAAACCCCACTTCCTACAAGTCAAGGAACAGAAAGCAACTGATTAAGTGATGGCCAAACATGAAGCAAAGGCACAAACTATGAATTCACTACTGGTCACATATTTCGTTCTGAAGGTCTATCTCCTCCATTGTGGCAAGTGGGAATCTCAGTCTGTTCACACCTGCCATAAAGAGAAGCACTGATGTCTCAAACATAGTCAAGGAACTTGGAAAACATGACCGTGCTCTCATTCCCACAAGATCTGCTACCGGCTTCCCACTGGGCTCTGCTGCCTTATGGCAAGCGGGATGGTTCAGCCCCTCACTATGAGTAGTAATAAAGACATTGAAATCGACCTGTCATGTTGGAAATGGCCTCCAGGTGTTCTGGTGAGAACTGCTGCAGGTGGGGACGTTCTCTAAAAGAGGGACATCATTCCTAGTTCTCCATGTACTACAGAGGTATACTTGCTAGGGGGGACGAGTAGGCTACTTAGACAAGACAAAAAAGTAGCAAGGCCTTTGGAGCACAGGCCCTTTGGCTATGTCTCTGCTACATTTTAGGAGCACAGGGCAAGAAGTGTTCTCTCTCCCAGCACGGTCCCCATTGCAGTGTCCATACCGCTATTATGAGCATGCCTATAGCTGAGAGTGCCAGCAGCCACACTGCAAGGTGGTAACACACCCATAAATCCCATCTGGACTTCTAGCCTAAGGACAGTTTAGGCTGTAGGCTTGCTTGCTTGATGGCAACACAACGTTGTGAGAAGAGCAGAAACACAGCCCTCCAGAGGACTCCTCCAGACTGTAGGTAAGTGTGTGCGCAGGCCTGTACCAAAAAGTGGTGAACGTTCAAGTCGTGCACATACTACCTATTCCTTCGCATCAACCATACACAGACACTAACCCCAAGTTAGATTTCACACCGTGCTGTTGACTACCTGAAAGGCTTTTGTAACTGTAACGTAGGAAGCATCCAAGCTCCTGAAAGACCAGCCGCTTGGGACCCTCCTAGTCTTGCAGAGATGGAAGTAGGAATGACTTGCCTTTTGTACAGAAGGTGGCAATAAATCCCTGGTGATGTGGTCTCAGACAGAACTGCGTTTAGAGTGATGCAATGTTTTAATACTGCGTCATTTGGAAAGTCAGGGGTGTTTCAAAATCAAGGTCTTGGACAATTGTTAAGGGCGGCGGCAATTCCTGTTAACTTATGAAATATCTGCACAGGCATTATGACCCCGATGACATCACAGATACAGAACTAATGTAAAGAAAAGATTAACTGATGGAGCAAGTGACTTCAAATGCTGTGCAAAATCTCTGTGCATAAATATATAAAATACACAGAAAAAAGTCCTTTCTTGGCTCTTTCCCCATATGATATCTTTTAAATCCATTGCTCATCTTCTTCTGCCAGGCTAAGGCTGTGAATATGGAAGAAAGAACGAATGGCTTGTGAGGTTCTGCTTTGCAAAGAAACTTCCTGGATTTTTAGTAATAAAGGTTGTTAATGCATGGCTAAGCCGGACTGTGTCTTTCCACAAGACTTCAACCACTTAGAAAGAAACCAAGCAAAAGAAAGAAAAGCTAATTAAGGCTCATCTAACCCGATCCCAATCTGACCAGCTGCGGCGGGCTGACTGGCAAATCCAGAGCCGAGTAGGGACCCTGGGTCCTGAGCAGGGACCTTTTCTTTTGGCATTCAGACCACTCCTCACTGGGTCTTTGCAGGTGCTGCTGAAACTCTGCTCCTTCCACCGAGGGCAGCGATGGATGCGCTCTGCTCAGCGTTCGTGGCAAGTGTTGGGCAAATCTTTCCCAATGAGCACTAAACACTATTGCAACAGACGGGTAATGTAGGTAAAGTAGACATACATAGAAATAAATTACAGGAAACTTTTCCATAAAACCAAATCAGTAGAACGGTTTAGGTTAGATCACCTTTCTATCTTGGAGTTCAAATATCCCCAAGAGGTCCAAGACGATGACTTTGAACCTCAGTAAAAGAGAGAAGCAGCAGCACTGCCTCCCGCAGTCGTGGGCACGGCCCGCGGCTCACGGGGACAGTACCTTCAGCGAGAACTGGTACATGGGATGGATGGCATGGAGGTCGTTCATGGTGAAGTACAGCAGAGAGGCCCGTGCGGCGGCAGGCCTGTAGTGCTCTCTGGCTTCGTTAATCTTGGTTTCTGTCACCTTACACTCCTGGACCTGGGAGGAAAAGACAGAACAAAATTGTTTTGAAAACATCTTTGTGAATTGAGTATGCAGCCCAGGGGAGGGCTGACGTCAGGCCAGCCAGTGGGCAACCCGCATGTGACCAGCGCAGGGACCAGCCTCTCCTCTCCGGACCCTGGTGCAGCCCGGCTTGAGCCACCCGCTCCCAGCAGCCCCCTTCCTCTGGCATATTCTCCATTTAACTGCATTTACCACCCTGTTGCCCAATCCTCTGTTTTCCCGAGCCCCCTCCAGGCTTCTCACTAGGATCCCTGCTCTTCACTAACTGGAATTGTTTTTCTCATCAATGAGTTTCTCCCGCTAATTGCCCTCCTCCTGTGCAGGTCGTTAATAAAGCAGGGCTGAACAGAATTAGTGCTGCTCTCCAGGCAGCTTCCCTTGAGGCTGAGAGCCGCTAATTTGTAAGTGCTATTCGCTGCCTTCCCTCACCAGCATTTTACGCACCCCTACCTTGCTGGCCAGCTGTCGGCATGGCTGCTGTGCCGGACATGGAGAAAATCCTTTAGGCAGATACATCACCCCATTATCATCCAAGTCCTGTTCATTCTTTCATTCCACTTCAGCAACATAGAGTGACACCCTCGAGTCTCTGGGGGATTATTTTAGGCTCTGGCTACGTACAGTCATAAGTGTCTTGCAACGCAGCCACATGCTGCCGAGCCCGTGCTGACGCAGCTACCTTGGCAAACCATGCGATGGGGATGTGGCAGGAAAGGGCTCAGCACATGTCGTGCAAGCCAGCAGGGCATGACACAGCCCCCACCGAAACGCACGCCACTGTGTCTCCCTGTGCCATGACCTGAGCTGGTGTGAGCATGTCTGGCTGGGGCACATCAAACCTTCCCAAGGAAGCACAGACTGACCCTTAATACGTCGTGTGCTACCGATACGTGTTGCCATCTATGGGATTAGCCTGTTTGAATGTCTCCATGAGCAACGGATGGACTATAATATCTGAGTCCCCCAAAGAGCAGCTTCAACATCTGCAGAAACAAGCATCCACTTGGGTCGTGAACCACCTGTCTACAGCAGATGAGTTCCCCTTCTAGCAGCGCCCATGTCCCTCCACTGACTATAAAGGGAGTCCAGAATCTAGCTTAGATTTAGGCAACTAACTTTAGGATGTCCCATCCCCAAAACAGTTAATAAATCTAGTAAAATAAAAGCCAGACATGGGGAAGACAGTTGCTTTCCATAAATAGAACAGGGAGGACTTCCACAGGAAGGAAAATACTGGCTGAACTTTCTTTTTTTGGGTAGACAGACCAACAACAGAGTGAGGGTTGACTTGAGAAGCAGACCTCGAATGGGGCCGTGAGGCAGCTTTGCATGTGAGTACCAAACCCATAAAAACCAGATGCAAACTCCAAAATTCATCTCTCTTGCCACAGAGCTGGCAGTGACCAGCTATACAACCACAACTTGTTTAGAAATTGAAGCACTTCAAGAACGCCTACTTCAATAGGGAGATGTCAAGCTTGCCAGGTCAAAAAACATCCCTTCAACATTCCCTTTGGGGGTTCAAGCAAGCCCTCCTTAGAGAGCTGAATGCGTCCTATGTACAATTAACTGCTAGCAGAAATAATTCCAACTTTTAGTGTGGAGGATTGCTTAGTTCCTTAGTCACCAGAGCTACCGTGCTGGGAAGTGAGATGCAGTTCCAGCCCGACCCCAGCACATGAGTAACTATCCAGGCAGCACAGGCCAGTGGGCTGGAGGAGGAGAAGTGTGGGCTGTGAAGATGGAAGGACTGGATGTGGCACTTCAGGACATGGTTTAGGGGACATGGTGGCACTGGATTAATGGTTGGACTTGATGATCTTGAAGGTCCTTTCCAACCTTAGTGATTCTGTGATTCTGTGTGACTGCAGAGTTGACAATGGCCATACAGGAGTCCTATTTGTAATCCTGGCATGACAACCGCACCTCTCAAGTTCCCCCAGTGGCAGGGGAAAACCACTGTGCATTTAACCAACCCCACCTAGCCAGCAAAGTGAAGTAGGTAGGTGGCAATGCACAGCTAGTACAAATGCTGATTTATACTTTAAGGAATGGAAGGATATGAAATACCCAAATTCTTGCAGATTTTCTTGAGACTGCAAATTCAACAGATTCCAGTCCCTAGTCAGTACTAAAATCAAGTTTAATGTGAGGAAGTATTCAGGATTACGCTGTAACAGTTTAGAGCTGCCTTGATACAGTGTGTAAATTTTATTGTCTTTACATCCAACACTGACATTTCCTCTTGGTCTTAAATAGGCCATTTAGCATACAAAAGCTCCAAAGAACTAAATGGCCTGAAGCTGTCCAGAACAGAGAGCACTTCAGTTTATACACTTTCTGTTCTCTGCTCAGCAGAAGGGGCAGAGATGGACAGAGTAAAGAAGTTATGTTCCACACAGAAATCCTTAAAGATAACACCACACACATGCTTTTCTCTAGGCTACCACGGTCTTTGTACCTTCTCCTCAATTTCTGCAGCTGTCTGTTTAGTGATCTCCAAGTTCTCCACCAATGCTGTGTCTCCCAGGAAGTTCCCAGATGCTGATGACAACCGAGAGAGCAAGTTGTCCTCTAACGTTTTCAAGGTGATTTTGAATCCATTCTGTTGCTTTGTGAGATCTGACTGAAAATAATAAATTCAGAAAGTTTTAGTCACAAAACACGCAGGAAAGTAAAGATTAGCCACCTTCGCGTGGGAACAGGTTTCTCAGTGACAATTGCCACAGTCCACTATTGCTTCCTCCTGCTCTCTGTGACTCCTGGGCATGGGCAGAGCTCTGGGGTTCACTATATATCCAACAAGCCATCAACTCAGAGAAACCTTGAACAGCACAGAAAGCACCAGGATAACTGAACCCTTTCACTAGGAATGTATTAAAATTCTGGAAATGAATCAGGAGGAAAAGACCTTCATCCCTCATCTCAAACATATATCCTGCATCTTCATCTTAGAAGTATCTAGTCATTGGGCTCAAGTCAGCCTGGATAGTCCCTGCTGCTTCTCACCCCTCCTGGTGAACCTCTGCACTTGCACATACCAACAATGGTCACACCAGCAATGAGGACCACGGGGTTAAAACCTGATGGCAAAAACAACCCCAAGGCCACTTGGGTCCAGAAATTACCACAATGCATCTCAGGCTCAGAACTAAGGGCAAAGTCACAGCCTCACTTAATTGCTGCTCCTGTTTGTATTCTGGCCTCGAGATCTCACTGGGACCAGTGGCTTACTGTGCTAGAAGCTGTCCCCCTGCCCGGGGAGTTGCAAACTCAGCACAAAGATGGCCAAGCAGATACAGACCAGTAACAACCGTCTTGGCTCAAGGGCAGAGCTTCTGAATTATAGTGCAAATTCTTCCAATTTCTGTTGTTGTTCTGTTCTCTCTGTTCTCCCCAGACACTTGTTCTACTTCCCTCTCTTCTGCAGAAATACAAGTCATTAATGCTGTTCATGGTGGAAACAAAGACTCTCATCTGGCTCCTTTTTGAACCGATCCTCCAGAACAGGCTTTCTCCCATGAAATGTGATTGCCTTATTCTATGTGTTTGCTCAGGGAAATGGCATCTTTCCTGGATGTCAGGTATATTATGTTATTCCACTATATGGTCCTATTGTGAATGCCTATTTTTAGCACTACCACAGAAAACATCCTGTGGAAAAGCTGTGCATCTGATTTGGATGCTACTAAGATACGAGCCTGGTGACTATTCTCTACATAAATGAAGTCAATCGCTAACACCCTGATATGTAAAACATTGCTGTGTGATGCAGTTTTAAATCCTCATACTGTATTTAAGTGACACAACTCAGAAATTCAAGTAACTTGCAAAAGAGTGTTTTATAGCCTTGCAAAAAATAGCAAGGTCCATGAAGTAGCAGACATGATGCATGTGGAATTGAGACAAGTTCTGGGCCACGTCGACTGGCACATGACAGATTCAGTGTCATAAACCAAGTGATTTAATGCTCCAAAGACAGTTTTTGGAAAACATACCCACACCTTTCAACCACCTACAGGGTCTGGAAGAGCCCCAGAAATGGGAAATGTGAACTTATGTCTCTTCCAATAGTACAACACATAAGGGAGGCAGAACTATTTGCTCTGTTGTCAGAGTTTTTCAAGCAGATTAACTAAGTCTTTCATTAATAAGTCATCTTCCAATATTTGGGCTGAAATTTCATATACTTGCTGTACACACACTCATTCCATGTTAATGTCAACCCAAGTATTCAGCAGAGTGTGCACCGAAGCGTGGTTTTTATTGGTATTTCAGCTATAAATGGTTGTTTTTAAAGGCCTATTCTGTAGGCATTACACACAGGAGTTTGCCCATGGTGGTAAATATTTTACAAGTCTTGAAACAGAAAACTAACATGGCTAATTTTGTGCGTTCCTGTCATTCAAGCATAGCATGCCTTGAAAAATGACATTTTGCAAGCTATTATTTCAGACCATGGACTGTAAGCCCTGGAGTTATTAATGAGGATGCGTGTGATTTTTGCTCCAGTAACTTGTAATCACCACACGATTTCTGAAACACACCCTTAGAAGTGCATACTATGCTCTACTCTCTGCCACAGCCTGCATCTGTTGCAGAGTTATCATGCTATTGTTTTCGGCAGCAGCAAGGTCATAATTTCTCATTTCTGCAGCGGAGCTCATTATCTGTTATTTCACAGTTGATATATAACAGTGCTGCTTCTGGGAAACAGGTTACTCTGAGAGCCTTCAAAATTTTGTTGCATTAAAATAAAAAGTTCAGCAGAGCTACAGGCCAGTTTTGCAGGATCCACTACCAACCCCTTCCTAGCTCAGCCACAGTAGCCACCTTTCTCTCCTTGTCCTTTCTGCTGGTTTTATTGTATTATTTTAACATCACAAATCAGAAAAAAAAAAGTCCTTGTATTTTCAGTCCACTCCTGCAGAGCACTTTCTTTCCTGAAGGACCTCAACACAGCCTAAATGTGCAGGGACTTTCACACACGCTTTACCTACTGAATCAGCAAGGCAGGATCCTAACTCATGATTTATCCACCTATAGCTTGGAACGCAACTGACAAAATACTATTTCCTAAGGCTGTTCTCAGCACTAAATAGGCAATGATTCTGAGGCAAATGTCATTTGAGACATTTCAGTCTAAACAGTGAAGTCTGATGAAGGTGGGAGATACTGGAAACCAGCCCTGGTAAGACTACGTGGACCACAGGCAGCACCACCAGCACATGGACCACGGTCATCCTTTGCGAAAGGCAATTGCAAAAGGGACTAAAGGCCAGAGGGTTTGTACTGACCTGAGGGGGAAGGTCTCAGGACTTGGCTTTGCTTGCCTTGGCCTAAATTGGTTTCAGCTTCTCTTAGCTGTGATTTTCTAACAGCCAGGTCACTACTGGCTTTAATTTGGAGTCAGAGCAAGTAGTTATTCTGGATGGATGATCTGTCCCTAGAACCAAACTATAGTAGAGTGCAAATGTGGTCTCAGACTCTGAGCACCCATCGTAACGGGAGTGCAATGCTGTGAATCAGATAAAGACAGCTTCAAAGATAAGAAGGAACAGAAAGACTGAATAACTGGGAATCAATGAAGGAAAATATTATGGAAATGGATTGTGTTGAGAAAATATTTTTAAAATGTTAGTGTTACCATAACTGGACCAGTAATAGCTGTTCGATTAATTTTGGTTAGGTTATTAACAATAAATTCTGGGCTACACATATAAGGTGTGCTCCATCTTTGCCCATAACAAGATTTTGAGCTCAGTAACTACTGTGCAGTACTGCAGGAGTCACCTCCATCTGCCCACGAGGCAGAGCCCTGGCCCCTCCCCAGACACCAAACGCCTGTCCCTTTTGTCCCAGCGTAGGGAGGATGGATTAAAACTCACCTAGAGAAGTGGCCATTCCTTTGGGGAATCCAAAGATTCAAATCTGTGTCTTCAAGAAGGCCCCCCCAGCTATCAGATAACAGCCCCAGGGGCTTTTGTCACATCAGCAAATAGACCAGGGGCAGAAGAAGATACGGAGCCGCTGGCCAGCGGTCATCCACGGAGGTCAGCGCGCCTGCAGCCATTGCCAGCGCCCCTCAGCATGTCTAAGGAGACAAGTCTCTGCTTTTATCCCAGCAGGGAAAAGAGTTTTTTAACTGACTGTTCCCCATCCAGCAGAACATCTTGAATATCAGACTGGTTTTCTCCCTGATATCTGCTGGGACAGCAGGACTGTAGCAGGAGGGAAGTAGATGAGAGGGAGAGGAGAGATAGTGGGCTCTGGTGTTATCTTGCTGTGGTGATATAGAGAAAAGGTCTTAAATGTTCTTAAAGGAAAAGAAAATTACATCCCACACCAATGTGTATCTGCTTAGTGCTTTCTGAAGTGAGACTACAGCCCCATGTCCCCCACAGCTGGTGGCACAGCTGGCACCCGGGGACACATTTCCCCGGTCCTGTGCCCAACCTCCTCCTTCCGCAGCACGCCCGCCCTGAAGCAGCAGGGTCTCCCAAAGATGCGCTCCCGGGTTCACATCGTTTTCACTGTTTTCTAACACACAGTTCTTCCACCGCATGGGAGGCAAGCGCTGCCCATCGTGAGTTACTAATTTTCAGAGCCTAATTGTGGATTTGTTGGCTGCACATTATATTGAATCTGTCTTTCTTATCGTGACAGCAACCATGAGCAGCCGTGCAGCCGAGGCGAAGAGGACCGGCCCTTAACAGCTGCCGACAGCACTGCGCGGCTCGTCGTCACCCCCAGCCCCCTCCAGCGCAAACCAGCCAAGCGGCTGCTCGTAGCACTTGCAGCCCAGTGCCGGGCGTGTGCGGGGGGTGGCTGGTCGAGGGGCTTTGGGTCCCTCCTGGTCCCAGCGAGGTAGCCGTGGCTTACACATTACATCAGTTCATTATGTATTTTTGACGCCATCTTTTGGCTCGTTAGCGCACGAGCCCGGTTAAAACTAAACGCATCATTAAGGCTGCACAGCTAACATACTTTAGAACCTCGTTAAATGAAAAGATTATTACAAAACTGGCCTGGCCTGACTGAACATGTGCAGTAAATTTATTCCCACTCTCAGTAAATATTTAGTATTATACATATTCATTACATTGTTAAATGTGCCATTAGAACAAAGGATTTTCTTTAAAAAAAAATCTTGAAACTGGAGCCATACTTATTAAAACAGAGAGAGAACATTTTGGCCTGTTACAAGCAAGTGGGAGGAAGAACCGGTACAGAAAAATTTAATTACCAGCCTCACAATATTTACAGTGGGAACCCTATAAAATAACGGCCTAAAATTAAGTGAGATTAATACTACCACCAACATTAAACCTGTGAAGTCCAGAAAAAACTGATGTAATGAGAATCTCAGTTTCCATTTCCAAGAGGAGCAGGAAAACAGAGAGATTCTTACACAAATATTTGGAGAAAAACTTGAAATTGCAGTTTAAGTGTTCCCAAAATACCAAGAAAACAAAAGACTGAAAAAACCAATTCCTCAATGTTTGTCATTCAAGGGAAATCTTCTGATTTTGTGATGAGTTCAGCAATCTCTGCAACCTTGCACATGAAATAAGATTTGTTTTAAATTACAGTTACACTAATTATTATTATTATTATTATTATTGTCATTATTATTATTTATACACGCTCCCAGTGTAAATGCCCAGCTACTGACCTTAAGCTCTTCCAAGTCAGGCCTCTCCATGTTGACCACCGCCGCGAGCAGCTGGTCCTCCAAGCCATCTCGTGTGACGGTGAAGTTGATGAGGGTGCACTGTGCCTGCAGCTCAGGTTGGAAATGCGGGTTTGCCAGCTTTGTGTGGAGGATGAGACGGAAAGCGGGGTTGAAGTCACACTCCTTGTCCCCGATTTTAATGTACCTGACATGAGAGCAAAAGGAGCATGAGCACACGTCTCTTCCAGGATGCTTCACCCAAAGACTAATGGTGGTATCAGTCAATGGCATCTACCAGGATGGGACTTTGCACTCTTCACACAGAAATCACTATTGAAGCAAAAAGTATTTAAAATTGGACACACCTGAATCACTTCTGATTTAGGATAAAAACCCTAGAAAATTGCCCCTGGATTTTGGATCCTGCTACGGTTTCCAGCAGCAGGATGGCCAGTTCAACCATGAATCCTCCTTGCTTTTTACAGGGACTGTATTCTACCTGAAGTTGGAATTACATGGAGAAAAAGCCTCTCAGCATTGAGATTTTAATTAGCCACAGCTAAAATTGCCTACTCTGTTGGCTCAGATCAGGCCAACTTTGTGGTCGCATTAGTGAGGAGGCTGGTTGCCATTCCTGGGAGGTAACAATACTCAGGCAAACCCAACCTTCTCCTGTTCTCCATTTCTGGCATTAAGCCTCGAACTTACAGAGATCCCAGGAATCAACATACTCTGAACCCAAGTTTAACAAAGCTCATGGGAACCAGAGGAAAAAAGAAACTTGAAATGCTTTCAGGGATGCAGCTGGACTGTTATGGGAACAGTGGTGTGATCGGGGGAATTTGAACACACTTTCTAGTCAAACATCAGCTCACTAAGTTCCCTCTTTGCCACCTCGATTGCTTTTACAGCTGTGAAACTGAGGCAGAGAGAAATCACACAGTGCACGCAGCTCGCAGCAGCAACCAGAAGTGCTGCCGAGAGCCCTGACTTCAAAAAACCTTCTTGCTCTGGGACTATCAGCATCTACCTGTAGGCTCTGGGCTCATGTTCTGGAAAACACTAAACCCAGGGACTTTTTACTTGATTTATGACTTATTTTCTGTTTCTTAAGAAACACGTGATCTCACAGGGAGATTTGAGAGCAGAGACATACAGTCCCAAAAAGGCATGACCAAGTTTTTCACTGTAGGGGGGCTCAGGAGTCCCACCACCCCTGCTGTAAACCCATCTCCGTTTTCAAACATTTCAATCCCCTTCACTGGGACCATCAACCCCTCTGAAATGATCCTTCTCTTCCATCCTGCAGCTGAACCCACAACCAGCCACCCTTTTCATGATGTTTTCCCTTGCAAACCTTCCAGATAGATTGCTGTTCCCAGCAGTTTACCTCACCTTAGGATATTTTAGGCAACTAAGGAAATGGTCCTCAAAGAACTTAAGGAATGTGAAAGGCAGAGCTTCACAGGCTTTTTGTTATTTCCTGCACAAAGCCGAGAGCAGGACTGCACTGCAAGGCGCTGCAGCCGGCACAGAGGTCAGCCCACGCCGGGCTCCCGCGAGCAGCGAAGCTGTCGGTGGCAGAGGCTTTTAAAAGCCCGAATGACGCGTATCCTTCTAAAGGCAGATGCCTCCACTCTGCGAAAGCCAGCGAAACAACATCAAAAGAGTCCCTGAATCAAGTTCAGCGCTGAGCACGAGGTTTTATTTGCTGCCATTATTTGAGCACACACTAAAAATGTGCTTATTTTACTTTATGTACAGAAAAAAGGAAAAAGTGAACTCCCTGGCTGCCCCTCATTGACCTCCTCTCGGCTCGAGGGTGATCAGCAGCTGCCATGAAGAACTTGACCTCATTAAGAAACACTTACATATTCTTATGCTTAAACCTGTAGCTGTATTCCTAAGCAGTGTGCAGTGTTTGCTAAAATTTAAGGTCACTTTTTCTTCACAACAGCAATAGCTATTTCAGTAATAATTCAGTGTCAGGATAGCCAACTGCGGACACCAAGGTCACTGTACAAAAGCAGAATTACAGGTCTCTCTTCTACATGAGGTTTGAATGACGCTTTCTAACACAATTAAAAATGTGGGTTTATTTCAAAGCCATCCTATGACTGAATTACCTGTGGCCGTCTGATTTAAAATGCCCTCACTTCTGAAGGCAGGGTGTTTGTGCTGCTGTGGATGAACACCCACAATTAGAGGTCAGAAACAGAAAGCGCAACAGCACAAGGAACCCATTCACACATGCCATTAAACCTCCCCGAAGCTCACCTTCCTTTCTTGATTGTTTCTCGCCCCAGTAACGGCCCCAAAACTGGGTCCATGGATTCCTCCAGGTTTTCAATCAAAACCAGTTCTCCTGCAGCCAGGGCTCGTTCCATCGTGTCCAGGTACCTGTGGGAAACAGCACTGATACCCGCCGCAGCGAGGCTGGGGGTAATGCTTTCCAGCAAGCGATGGGGACAGAGGGGTGCTCCACGCTGCGATGGCAGCCACACACACATGCCAGCAGTTGCGAGGGAGAAAGAGGAGTAAGATGCTGCCAACATATGGTACAGAAAGTGGCATTGGCAGAGTTCTGGCTGTCCAACAGAGAGAATCAGGTCTCAGACCTCCCAAGGGCAAGCAATAATAACTGTGTCTTCTTCCTCAAGAAAAGAGCATGGACATCAAAGAACAAAGATGGGACAGCTTGGAGGTATTTTTAGCAAATACTTTCTTTCCCCCAGAACCCACTGGTGCAGTTAATTTTGCACAAAAGCAAGGATGAAGAGCAGGTTTTGGGTCCGTTTTGCCCAGGGTTTAGGATCATGTTTAGGACAGCTGCTTTCCTGACGAGGGAACTGAACACCTTTGCCCAGTGCCTAACTGTGAAAGAGGGATGCTCTGCGTCGGGATGCTTTGTGTCAGGAAGGGCAGGGTCAAGCGCCTGTGCTCTCTCCTTCAGGGCCACTCTGCACTTCATACAACTTACTTCTCTGCAAAGAGGAGAGAAGGGCCCTGGGCGAGCAGTGAGGATGCTCCTGGTGCTGTTACACCATCACTGTTGCACTGAATCACTCCAACTCCACTGGCTAGAACCTAGGTTCATCGTCTAAGCTAGAGAGTTTGGGACCTCAAGAGGTGATAGAAAGACCTAAGACAAGAAGTTCAGAGTGACCTTTAGGCTCGACCTTTAAAGGAAGATGTTGACACCATGCAAACACTATCCTTGATCAGCAGCCCCCGTTTTTCTGAGTCCAGGAATATTTTATACAAAGAAACAGTCAGAGAGATGACAGCAGATGACCCCAAAGCTGCTCACATGGCTCTTTCCTGAAGGAGAGAGGGGGGTGGGTTTAAAGCCTTTAAAGCAGTTGTTGAAAACAAAGCAGCACCATTATCCAAACGATGAAACGCTCTTTTATTTACTGTAATGGGGCAGTGAATGATGCTTTTAGCCAAGGGCCCTGGGACATCACAGCAACACACTGAGCTCCCCTCTTAGAGTACCTGCCAGCCTGGTGTGTGGCCAGGGAGGGACGGAAAAAAGAGATGCTGCCTTTGCACAGCAAACTGTAATGGCAGCATATGAATGTTACAGGATCTATTCCTCTTGTTCCATCCTGGAGGTATTTATGCGTCTCCTGTGGGATCCTTACGCTTCCACAGACTGCTTTGAATAACTGCAAGGCACGGTGACCAGGTTGGCCAGGAAACAGAAATATACTCCAATGAAAAATAAGCTCTATCTTCATCCCACATGAGATTAAATCTAATAACTTCTTACTATTTTCTATGAGGAAAGCAGAGGATCACCAGCAAAACAACCTGGGCAACTGCAAGACATCTACAACTTTACAAGAATTTGCAAGTGCTGAGCGTGGGTCACTCTCGCTTGTTGCCAATGCTTTGCTTTGTACTAAAAAAAAAATCTCTGCACTCATACCCAAGCAGGGATTTGACTCTGGGTCTGCTCCATCCCAGTGGGGACTCCTCACTAGCGGGTAGAAATACATGCAAACTGAGATAGCAGAAGACTGGTCTGTGCGCTGACCGGAGTTAAGAGCCAGGAGCAGAAAAGCCTTCCCATAAAAGATTTAGCCAGATCAATGCAGGGTTGCTGCAGTGAGAACCTCCTGGCTGGTGTGCGGGAGCAGAGCTAGTCCAGCTGGTCTTCAGGGCATGGTGACCCTCATGGCAGCTTCACCCTCCATGCCCAGGCCCTCTCTCTTCTTCCAAGATGCAGGAAGCCCTGCCCGCCCTCCTGGGTGAAAGCGGGTCAGGACACAACACATAAGACGAGCCCGATGGAGGATGCCACAGTCCTACGCATAGCTCAGCCTCCAGCACACAGCGCTCTCCATTCTCAGTTTCAGAGGAGTTTCTATGGTAACTGAGCCAAGCACTAAACAGACCCTCTATTTAATGAGAAATCTCTATCATTTTGGTAATGAATAAGCAGCTAATGCGCAAATACTTTTGAGGGTTTCCCTCAATGTAATTGGCTTAGATGGTTGCAGTTAAATAGATGCTGTTCATCAAACACGACAGGCAGATAAGCATTAAAAGGTATTATTACGCGATGAGGCAGATGTTTACCCCTTCTGCCCAATTCGGATCACTCGGAGGTCTTCGCCATACTTTGTTTTGATCCATTTGATACCCTGCAGCTGGGGATCCACCATGAGGGGCCAGCGCTCACAGTTGGTGAGGATGGTGGCATTTTCAGTGGACATCCGATCAGCTGGCAGGCCCTCATTCTGCCACGCCGCTACATCAGCATCATCTGTCAGCATGGTCAGAGGATCGAGGGACGGCGTTACAGGAATTGGCACCTGGGAGGAAAGGAGAAATGCTTCCTAGTGTGTTGGCGCAAAGCAGCGAGTGCGACATGCAACGTATTCCAGAGATGAGCAAGGGAAGTATTTCAAGAACAAAACCTGGTAAGTCATATTTAGCAGTGGCTTCCCATTCTACAGGATAGTTTTAATCTAGTATTAAGTGTTTTCCAATCCTGTTGTGAATGAACCCGAATTACCCAAGCAACCCAAAGACTTTTGCCTGCAGAGCATGAAGCAGCCCGAAGGACCGCAGACCAGCCAAGCAGGCTCAGATCGCACCCTGCCGCGTACGAGCTCTCTGAGATGACGGCTTGGAAGAATATAATTAACACCCTCGTAAGCCTGCTGTTGTGTTGAGAAACAGCATTAGCAGTTCCAGAAACACTTCTCTGACATGGGAAGCCATTTCTGGGTGTGACAACCAGAAAGTTATCTGTGTCAGTTGCCTGAGCAGGATGGGCCTTTAATTTCCCATTAGAAATACAGGCACTTCCTTGAAACGTCTAAGCACAGAGTCAGGTCGTTTTTGGAACAGCATTGCCTTTCTTAACTAATTTTTTTGGCTTAGTATTAAGAAATGCAGAATGAAGTTTTTCCTCTCTCATCCTAAGGAACTTGTGATTTTCGCAGCATTTTGATTTTGGCATTACTCTGTTGCAACCTTATTTAAAAGCTTCTTGACATTTTACCAGGATTTATAACATCCAGTTACTTAAGGATGTGCAAAAGCTCAATCCTGCAGAACACCGAGCACTTGCATTTACTGATGCATGAGAGGACCTGTTAAAAACTAGTAAAACATTAAACAAGTTTGAAGAATGACAGTCTCCATCTGGTCTAAACAACAAGACATGGGTAAAACCAGCTGAGAGGCATGGCCAGCATGAACAGAGCTTGTGTCCAGTGTGAAGAACCATCTGGAGTTTTTCCAAGCCTACCAGAGAGCTGGCAGTGAGTGCTGCCTGCTCCAACCAATTCTTTCTCCATACTCCCTCCCCCCTCCTAGGCCATCCCTGACACCTGGTTAAGATCCCACAGCACTGCTACTGGGCTCCACGTTTGGGCTGCTGCATCGGGGGTTTTCCTCTGTAAGTGGAAGAACTGTGTCACTTGCATGGAGCAAAGACACCACAACATCTTCCCCAGAGAGGAGTAAATCAAGTATGGCTACATGCCGCTCCTCAATCCAACTCAGTGGGGACACAGGGATGCCCCTCAGTTGGGGGATCCCCTGTGGACATCAGAATTTATGGCCATGTTAATTCAAGTAACCACGGCTTTTCAGGGAAATCGGGGCTTACTTTTAGCTGGTGCAAATACGGCTTCCAGATTCCGTCCAGGAGGTCTTGACGGTATTTCTTGGTGAAGTAACCCAGGTAGGAGATGAACGCCGTGATCAGCAAGACATCTCCACACAAGGTGCTCTGTTGCCTTTTGAAGTCCTTCACGGCTTCAGCCCATCTCACATTCTCAGAGGCGAGTCCCCCAACCTAAATTTCCCAAGTTAAACTGATCATTAGAGTGGTACTTTAAGCAGTATCAGGACCTGGCCATCTCCATACTTTGTTACTAATGTCAACTGTCATTTGATAAAGTTTAAAACCTGGTGATAGGAAATATTCAACGGCTACTTTGCTAACCCTCCCCATCCCATCCAGTGGAAGACTGGTCCTGCAGCCAAATCTCAGCTGTCTGCTCCACAACACATCTAAAATAATCACTTCTCCCGCAGGAATTCACATACAGATATCTGCATAAGGAATTCTGAGGCAGCCCATCCACTGTTGTCTTAATGCCACAGCTTCACACCTTGTTACACCCTCTCTCACACAGAGCACTCCCCTCCAACAGCCACAACCTTCATCTATTCGCACAATTTATTATTACCGCAGGTAGATGGGATTTTGATCACAATTCCCTTGGGTCTACATTTTCCTTGAAGTTAAGGTTCTGTCCAGAAAACACTTCCTCGTGGACATTTTTCATGAGCATCCAATGTGCAAACAGTCCAACTCTGGCTTACCAGCTTTGAAGAGGGTACAGTACCTCCTTGTAAAATAAGATATCTCCACATGCACGGACAAATTCTTTGACCATTGGTACTTTTCAGGGTACCATTGCCCCTCATTCCTGAAGTCTTGCGACTATAAGAGATATCCTGATGCACACACACCCTTTTATTTTTTTAAAAGGAGAAAACTGCAGTTCTATTAACTGAGAAACACAGCTTGGAAATATGAATGGAATGCATCCTCCAAGCCAGAAAAAAAACAAAACAGTTTTAAGTTGGCCTCATGGACTTGAGAACAAAAATGCCAAATCTTATGGTCAAATTCACAATCACTCTCCTGTTGCCAAGGTGCTCTGGAAACATCCACGTAATGTACCGTTCCACTCTGCTCACAGGCCTGTGTTACCGGGGCCAAACCAGCACTTTCTATTTTTCCTCTTCGGTATACAGTCCACATGAGCTTAGGGTTATTTCTCATATTTCTCATTTTTATTAAAAATTCCTCTATATCCTTCTCTTTTGCAAACCTCCCCAAATAAGGGGCGGTGCAAATGTGACCGCTATGACACCATGTCTTTCTTCCAGGTTGCTGTTAAATGTTAAATAGGACCAGCTCTAACACGAATCCCTATGATAAGCATTATAACTTGATATAATAACTTGATATAAAAACTTGAATAACTCATTCCCCTAAACTGGGTTATTTTGTCATCTTAAACTGATATGCAGAATACAGGTCCCCAGGATGGGAAGGCACCACCTTCAGATCCTCACTGAATTCCACGGTCACACGTTCCAGCTTGACCAAGTCCTATTTCTAGCAGAATCTTGCTACCCTCTAGGGTTAGGAGCCACTTTGTGATTTCCAACACAAATTTACTCCCAGCCAACTTATGCCATCGGTTCTCATGCAGGCACTGTCTTCCAGCTCAAGACAGCTCTCCTTTCACCCTCATGTGTACCTCCAGGTGCTTTTATAAACAGACAGTATTTTCTAGGGAATGTGCTCTGCTTGCCTAAGCAAAAGAAGTTGATCTAGTTCCCCACTGAAATACACAACCCCAGGAACAGCTCTACCGGGCCAGACCCAAGGTCGACCTTCTTCGGCATCTTCTCTGCTGTCAGCAGCCCTTAGCAGTTGACTTGGGAAGACTCAAATGAGCACCTGGTAATAGTTCCTGACATAATCTCCCAGCTTCCCACAACCGGTGGTTTAAGGACCTGAAACTGAGTTTATATCTTTGTGCTTAATAGCCACTGATTATTTTTTCCTTCATGACTGAGTTTAAGCTGCTGTGGATACCAACCAGCCTTTTGGCATCTGCAGCATCCTCTGGCCAGGAGAGAAACAGTTTAGCTACGCTTTCCGTAAAAAAAGTACATCCTTTGGTGTGCTACCTGACCTTTTCAATTGCTAAAACTTGCATAGTGGAAAAACAGCGAACAATCATGCTTGTGTCACCTTCTCCATACCACTCACGATTTCAAGCCCTTGACACCCCCTCTGCTGTGTCTCCTTTTGAGGTTGAAGAGCTTTAGCTTATTCAATAATTCCTCACACAGAAGCAGTCTTTTGATTGTCCTTGCAATCTTTATCTTTACCAAATGATGTAATCTTTTACTAATATCATAAATATATAATAAATAATCGGATAATAATCCGGTTTCTTTTTACTGTTACCTTCTCTGCATCATTTCTCATTCGAATACATCCTTTGAGGTACAGCAGAGGGGGCAGAGATACAGCTGCACATTCAAGATTTATTTAGAATGTATTTATATAGTGAGATTGTGAATTTTCTCTGTTTTGTTCTCTCTTCCTAATAAACCCTAACATTCCATTTCGGCTCGGGTTTTCGGTTTTGCCCCTGGGAGCACAGAGCTGACATACTCACATACTCACAGAGCTCTTAACTCCTTCATTTCATTCCGGAATGATGGTAACTAGCTCAGCATCACTTACAGGGCATGTAAGGTAAAAGCTATTTTTTTCAATATACAGTTTACTTTACATTTATCTACCTGGCATTTCATACCTCCATCACTTGGTATAATTTTTACAATTCTTTATAGACAGTCTCCGTAATACTGTACTAGTATTGCTGAGAAACTGTGCGACCTGCTTACACACCATCTCAGCCAGATCGTTTATGATTATTCTGACGAACAAAAGAACTAACAGACACCTGCAATAATATCTCTGATGGCCTTTCTGCCTTGACAAATCTGCCCCTTTGAATCGGTGAAAACCGCCTTCCGGGCAGTCTGACTCCTTCCAGGAGCAGAGAGAGAGGAAACAGGTTTTTCTCTGTCCCACTCAGCCTCAGAGCTATCCCTAAACCTGTTTCAGCTGAGTTACTCTTTCACGAACGTGAACCACCATCCTCCTCACAAAGCTGCAGAGAAGGTTGCCCCAGTGCCCGCTGCTGATCTCAGTGCCTGCTGATCCTCCCTTAGCCGTGCTAGGAAGCCTGCTCTTGGTATGATTAGGACCACATCTGCCTTTCTTAGGGCTGACACACAGGGCAAAGCCTGAGCAAATAGATTCAAGTGCTCCTCACCAGTTGCTGGCAATGTGTTCCTGGTTTAGAGACAAACAAGCTGTTATAAATCCAGTTACACATCTGCATCTTGTATTACTGAATGTCATCCTATTCTGTGGTTCCTGTATCCAGACCATCCAGTTATTTCAACTACAGTCATGCTTCCTCTTTATCTGTGGGAATTGCCATTTTTATGTTCTCAGTCTTCTAGGTCTCTCTTACGTATACCCACATTCATTAAAGAAGTGGAGCATATGAAGGCTGGAAAGTGTCAGGGATCAGGCAGCATGGGATACACCTGCCCTGTCTCTCTTCTCTTCGGGACATTTGTGGGAGAACAGATGAAGCTTGACAGACCCTGGTCTCAGCCCACATATATAATCCTATAATTGTTGAAAAAGACGCAAAGCACTACTTTTAAGTTATTGGTTATTTTTAAGGATGATACCTAAATTATCCTTAATCTCAACTCCAATAACAGTGCATAGAAGTCTGCTTCCTCCATCTTCCCTTTGTAGCTTTCACAGACGAAGTACCCACAGGTCCTTCCTCCAGCCTCCTTGAGGTCAATTCACTTATTACTCCCATAACCTCTAAGACCAAGAAGTCGTTATTGATCTGATTTTCCTAATACTTGTAGACTCTCTACATACTCATAATTAATTTCTTGAGGTGATTTTTTTTTAATCCACTTAGGTCCTGGGATTCTTTTCTTCTCATTTGCTTGAGTCGCACACTACTGCCAGTTTTAGTTTCTTAAAGAAACCCCAGGTGTCTTCCACCTCAGATCCTAGAAGTCATTTGGATCTTTTTTATTTAGCGAGTAGCAAATTAAAAGCCATCTCATTTGATTACCTTTAGTTCTTTGATAATGAGGTATGGTGAACAATCATTCCCTATTCACCTTCTGCACATTATTCATGATTTTATAGGCTTCTGCCACATCTACCCCTACACCATCTCTTTTCCAAAAGGAATAGTCCTAATCTACTTCTTCTCTTCACATATGGAAGCTGTTGCATAGGTCTCTGTAACTTTTTCCCAGGTTGCCTGCCATTCTGAGATGGGGTGACCCGACTGTGTTCAGCATGCAAGATGTAAGCACACCAGAGATCTGAACTGATGCTGTGATTGTTTAAATTCTGCTTCCTGATTTCTTCCTACCCATTCCTAATATTCAGTTTGCCTTTCTTCCTCCAGTCGAGTACCACACTGCTGTTTCTGCGAATGCTCTGCAACAACTCCAAGAGCTCTTCTATGAGTGATAATAGTGCAATTAGGACCTATCAATGTAAATGCATGATTACAGTTCGTTTTCCTTGCATGCATTATTTTGCATTTGTCATCACTAAATTTCATCTGCCACATTAGCACATATCCACTCACAGATACCACCCATCAGCAGTCCTCCCTTTCCTGGCGCACAGATCCCGAGACATTCCCTGGTCCCTGTCTCTTGCATCATGGACCATCTTCCCTAGGTCGTCTAAAGTTTGTGAGATGCCAAACTAAAATTAAGACACTGTAAAAGTTCAGCTTCCCTTCATCCCCCTGATTTGTTTTCAATCCAAAGCAACACTATCTGTGTTCAGTTTGGTGTATCCTTTATACAACCTCAATTGTATTTATTTCAAAGTCTGGGAATTTAATTCTGCCCAGTCACATAGGCGACACATCTTGGATGTCAAATAAATTGCACATCAATAGGGGCTGTCGGGATCTATTGCTAGATCAAAGCCAGAGAAGACGGTGTGCATTGCACAACAGTAAGTTGGGATGCAAGTAGTTCCTTGCATACACTGCAAAAGCGATCCATTTTTGACAGCAGCAGTAGCAATCTGTGCTTTCTAACCAGGCCTTTAAAGACATCTAGTGGAACTGGCACTGACATAACTTGTTCTTGTCTGCATTTATAGCTGACTGTGTTCAGTGCTCC